ATTTAAGGTTTTTGTTTCTATCTGCAGGTTACCTCTGCCAATGGGTATTTCAGTGTCATAATCTCACGAGAAATCCTACCCTAAAATACCATCTGTTTCCAACTCTACCTGTTTACAGATGTAGAAAGAGTGTTCAAGTTCTATGTTCCCTACTTCTATCTGAATATTATATTTGCCTAGCATTTTAACAGGATGTTCTGCTATGGAAGTTAAGATACTTTTAGAAACTTCCTTCCATGCATTATCCAACAATGTTTTTCTTCACTAAGTCTGCATTTAGCACCTGTGTCAACAAGCAAATGAAATTCTACACCTTCTAATTTTACAGTAACTACTGGAGTAACTTCATTAACCCTATAATTACGGGCACCCCTGTACTATACGTCACAAAATTTTACTTTGTTACATTCAAAATTTAATTAAGCAATCTTACTATTGATGTATTAGTATTAAAATTTACATTATAGTTCAAAGTTTTATATTATCTAAGTTTTAATTCCTTTATTCCAAAAGAAATATTAAAGAAAACTTCTTAACTTCAGTTTGATGCACAACTTCACAGAACTTTAACTTTTCATCTCTGTAACTTAAATAGTTCTTTCTGTACACTATACTTGTATGTATAGACAGAAACTAGGTTCATCGCTCTGTTTACACATTCTTCTTTCTGGCCCTTTATGGGACTTTAGTAGGAAAGAGAAAAATTTCTTAATAGATGCCTTGCCCACTCTCTACACTTACAGTTGCAATTTCTCAGCTAATTATACTTGGTTGAGCTAGATGTTTGAATCCAATAGAAAGACCACATTTTGAAATACTATTTCCTAACAGTTATTTAAAAATTGGCCTGAAGAATCCTATACAGAACTTGTCAGACTTGTCATTGTTACTGCTTGTGACCTCGCTAGCACTTTAGCATTATTTCTCACCTATAAATATGTTAGTTAGACAGACAATTAAATTTTATTTAGGTTTTAGTTTTATGTTTTAGTTAATTATGTGGTAGTTATGTTTTGAAATGCACATTAGAACAGTTTAATCATTTTTAAAAATAGAAGCTAAACTGCTATGGTTTATCAGGCTTAGTGTAGTAGACAAATGTCCCAATGTTCTGATGATGGCTAAAGTGTCATTGTTGTGGGCATCCTGAGAATGCCTGTTGACATGTGTTGTGATAAGTAATAATGCTAAATGACAGGAAAGGAAAATAAAACATCAAAAATTAACTTTTTGTGAGAAAGTAAAAACTTAAAATTAAGAATATAAGAAGATTTTCAAGATAATTTGAAGAAAAAGTTAAAAGGTATGTACATTTTTTCAATTTTAAACATTTCATTGCACAATACATTGATGGTAATACTCATTATCTGAGTGCAAATAACTACAGTACAAAAATAACAAATAGTTAATTAAAATACTTAATTAAAACAATCTCATTCTATGTGTACAAAATACCTGTAATCTTTAACAAAATCTTATAAATTTTTATAAAGATATGTTAAGAAAGCTCAGAGTTATTGTAAGTATTGTTGAACTGTGTATCTTTCTCCATACAAGTTATGCCCAAATGGACCTAACCAAAACCATTGAGTTAACACCATTAATGTTCAACCTTTTATTCCATACCACTGTAACTACTTCTAATTTTGCTCCATAATTCCAGCTGGAATTACGTTTTGTTTGCTCCACTAGAAAATACTGGTTTTCTAGTATTTTTCATTAACTCTTTCTTAAAAGTTCCAGCCTTTGGGGCTTTCTAATTTTCTGCTTTTGATGGGCATCTGCAGTCTCTAGCCATGTGGCCTTTTAATCCACAATTAAAACATTCTCTTTGCTCATTCTTCTTCTTAAAGCAATTTTTTTGCCATATGTCCGAGCTTTTTGCAATTGAAAAATTTTCTGCACTCTGGCTTATTTTGTTTCCTAATCTGTCACTTTGCTCGGTCATTTCTGTTAGTTACAGAGTTTACAGCAGAATGCTGGGATCTGTATACCTGCTTCTAGTGTAGCTCTTCTCCACTAGCTACCTCAATTAAGTCTAGCAAAGTTGTGTTGGACATGTTTACTTCATTTACATTTCTCCTTGTTACATTACCAATCACACCTCATTCATAGTCTGACTTTAAAGTGTCTTATATCATTAATTCATTGGGGTGTCTATATGCACTGTGAAGTCTGTTACCTAGCTCCTGTAATTTGTGTTTGAATACCTTAACTGATTCTCCCCTTTGCTAGGTTAAACTGTGAATCTGTTAGCATTGTATTTGGTGTTTCTCGCTTTTGGTATTCTTGTTTCAACCTGTGTACTAAATACTGAAAGTCTTCAGTGTCTCTGAGCTTGTCATATGCTCAGATATAGTATTTTGTCTCACCTACTGTTCTTAGTCTAAGTATACAGGCCTTCTGGGCATCTGTCCATCCTGATATCCTAGCAGCCTCACTAATTGCATCAATAAAACTCTCAATGTCTTCCAAAAATGTTCATGCAAAAGCATTATATCCCTCATTAAATATGTAGATCTGTGTGGCCCTGCTGACAAGGGTTGTTCTACAGCAGCTTCACAACCTGCACCTGTCCATCTATCAGTTCTAGATCACACACCCTATTCTGTTTTAATTTCTTCAGCAGCAGTAGCCATATTTACTTCTTTTAATACTACTTATTTCTACTTATGCTAACTTAAACTAATTTATTTTATTAATTATTTCACCATCTTTTTCTTATTTTTACTTGCTTTTGGTTACCCCAAAATCCTATCGATTGCTCCTATTTGTAATGGACTCCCTTTTGTCGTTGGGTTCCACTTACATTTCTTACAAATTAATTAATTTATTTATTAACAGGATATTTTGATATACGTAGTTGTGGGTAAGGCGTACAAGCCACCAACTCGAGGAAATTTACATAAAGGACAAAGAAACTCCTTGGATACCAAGTAACATATAACATTTATTTAATTGAACAAATTCCAACAATTTACATTCACACTGCTCTCTTTAACATTTGTATATCTCATGAACAATTCCTCTACTCTACTTATTAACATTTTCGTAATACTTTGTAAATCATTAAGTAGCTTAACCTTTACAAGGACCTCTGTCCTGATATACTGTGTACTAGTTACATTACTAAACACAGTAGAGAAGGCATTTAAATTTACATGAAGTTTGAGTGGTGAAGGTTCTTTACAGATGCTAAGGCTTTTATCTTCTCAGAGGAGTCACTGATGAGTGGAAGGGCTATCTTCTTTGTGCTTGGTGCTGTCTGCTGTTTCACTGTTGGGTTGTCTCCCTGTGTGCCTAACCATAGCTTCTTATACTTAATTAATAGGATGTTGGCATTGTTCTAGTTGGAACCAAACCCTAACTACAGCATTTGTTTCTTGTGTTTTGATTGGTTGTTAATGTTGTTCTAAAAATGAACCAAAACCATAACTACCATTCCTGGGTTACAGTTGGTTTTTCTCATGTACCAATAAGACATTGCATCAGCATTGAGACATAATGTCAACTCATATATTTTCTTAAGAGTTTGGTGCATCCTTATCTGTATCTGTGACATTGTATTTGTTTCCTTCCATACAACCCTGCTGTGTATTGCTCAAGTTTAGTGTTTTTATTTCATTATCACCTTAACTCTAACCTCCCCCAGAATGTGGTTTGAGATATTCTTCTGTATCTTGATAGTACACTCTAGACTCCATAAAATTCTTGCCAACCTGTTGATTTAAGGGCTTCTGCTTTCTGCTGGTAAAATTAATTGCTGGTTTTCTTTCTTTTTTGTCTAACGATTTAGGCTTGGAATGTATTTTTCAGTTAAGCACATGTCCCGTTGCCCTGAATTTCTTCATGGCATTATTCAGCAACCTAATTTGCTTATGTGTATCTGTGTTAAAACACTTTTCATTATATTGTTTTGTTGGCCAATATGTACTGTAGCTTTCTATGGCACTTAGTTCTCCGTAATTATTACCAACCAAATTTTATACTAAACATTTACTAATAAGCAATTGTTTTATTCCTATTCAATGTAAAATGTAATCTGAATTCTATTGTGAGAAAAAACAAAATTATGGAATTCATGTATGCACATTAGTTGAACAACTGTTCAGCAAAATATGGTTGGCATAAATGAATGCCAAGTTCCTTTTATTCCTAGAATTGTACTCAGCCTACAGCAGTAGTACTTCACTGAATTTTATTGGATGTGTTTCATAAAATTTTGAGTTCACATACAGGAGTGAAGTTTAAAAAAAAAAGCAAATGTTGATGAAATGTCATAGAATTATTCACATACCAAAATTAATTTAGGTTACCATATGGTGAATTAAAATGAACTCAAAACCCCATAGATATTAAATGTACATTCAGGTTATATATAGATGAAATTTTAAGAGTGTCAGTGAAAAGTGATAGAGCTGTAGTCCTTGTACAAATAGACACTAAAACTTTAAATACATGTGAAAAATTTTATTTACAATAAATTTATGTTAGTTTCTATATATTCTATATGTTCTAGGAAGACAGCTTAAATGTGAAGCAAATACCCCCTGTAATAGTGAAAAGAGATTTGAACATAGAATTATGCTAGGATTTACCTCCTGCATTGCAAGTGTACCATATAATTATACATACCACCTTAATCATGTAAGGAGATGTTCCACTATATTGTTTTGTAATAAAAACACCACACCTAATATTGTGAGAATTTGTTGCATCATTATATTCTGTATTAAATTAGAATGTGATTCATTTTAACAAATCAACATAAAGTTGTGCTAAGTGTTTGTTTGGTGTAGATCTTTGATCATGTATTTTAAGCACGTGATCAGTTGTTGTGTATTACGTTTTTGAAGTTTCATTGAAATTTTTACAACTTTTATTATTTGTGATATATGTATTAGTAAAATGTATAACTGTGTTAATTTACCTTAGATTTTTATTGTAGTGTGAGAAAGAACAATAGTAGTATATTTATTATATTTTTTTTACATTTTTAGTCGAAAAATTTCAGTGCTTGGTACCAGAGATGAGCCATCCCCATCACCAAAAAGTCTTCAGTTGCAGGGCTGTGTGCGATATGCAGCAAGTAATTTCCTAAGAGATAACATCTTAGGCTTACCATCACTGCCATCAGAAGAAGAATTTCACAAATTACAGGAAGAACATCGAAAAGAGGTACATCAGCGTATACAGCAGGAGAAACAGGCAGCTCTTGAGTCAAGGCAGTTCAGTCCCACAGAGGACCCTTACAAGAGAAATGGAAACAGACAGTCATTTCCACATACAGTAAACCAGGATATGATTTCTGTGGACACTGGCTGGACACCAGACAGTGTGGAATATTCTATGTCCATGGATGATGATCCTATGGTTCAGCAAATGAATATTATTAGAAATTTTATCAAACAAGCACGAGAAGCTCATCGTTATGACGAAGTTCGAACATTAGAAGAGAACTTAACAGAGTTGCAACAGGAATATTTGAAACAGAAGAACTCATAAATTAAACCTAATTGTTAGAAACTTTCTCGTGCTAGAAATGTTCTGAGCTCTGTGATTTTTTTTTAATACATGTTTCTGAAGTATTGCAAAAAATTGCACCATCAAGAAGGAACAAAGCATTTGGATCTTGTTAGTAGTAGAAAAAGAGAGACTGACCAAGGTAGAAAGAAGCATGTCATGTACTCCACTGTTATGTAAATAGGTCTTGTACAAAACTTCTATACAAGCTACTCTGTTTGGCAAGGTTTGATAACAAGTCTGTTGTGAACGTAGATTGTTAGCAGTTGTTAAATATCATGTTACAGTATTATCAGATTTACCCAAGCATTAATACCTGTAGCAAGTCACAGTGTAATCAGAATTGATTAAGAAGTATACTACTCATGTCGGCACACTTGATCAAATATCTGTTAAAATGTAAAATCATGTTAAATTAAAAATGAGGGCACTTTTTAACCTACTATTTCTAGCTGAAAAATACCTCGGCTTGTATGTATTATTTTTCTTGGTAATGTTGTTTTTTAGAATATTTTGTTTATTAAATAACATCTACATAAAGTTACAATTTTGCATATCTTGTGTACAGTATAATATTGCATACAAGTTTAGTGTACAACAGAAATAAAGACATTTTGACAAGAAGCTCAGACAACAAGCACATCATCCATTATTATTTGCATCTAAGCTCCACTGTTTTCGAGTACCTAAAGTAAAAATGCTAGCTCTTTATATTAGGTGAAAACTTAAGTGTTCAAAATCTATGTTTGGTAAGGCAACAGAAACACATACAATAATGTTCAGAATAGAGAAATCACTCGTAGAGCAATTGTTACATTTGCTTCAAAATATGTTTTATAGAAATACTGTCAAACAGCAAAATATCTAGATATGTAGCTTTAAGTCATGTGGCATAGATAGTGAAAAAAACCACTTAACAAGTGTTGCTATCAGGCTTGGACCGTGTTGGGGTGCTAGGGTACATTTCATTCCTGGCAGTTAAAAGTTTCACTCCCAATCTCTTTCATAGCACACAACACAGTAACCTAAAACTCGTTATTAAGTCAAGCAATTATCTAGATGTGTACTCACCATAATATGGACCTCGTAGTCCTTCTACGAAACATGGAAGATTTTGGTTATTGGGTTTAAACTTACATTTCGAAACTTTTGTTGTCTTGTGTTTCAAAATATTTTTATTAAACATTTTCTACATATACATCTAAAGTTGTTGTCATCCTATTTATTCAACTGAACCTCTTATTAAGGAATGTTTATTTCATAAGAAATGTTTTTGGGAACAAAGATTGAGCTTTTCTAATGTATGAAAAAATTATCTTTTAGCACAGTCAAGATGTCATTATATATAAACATCAGGAAGTATGAGAACTTAAGTTAACAGTTTAGCTGTTTCAGCTTTTCATGCTTATAATGTTTGAAATAAAATGTGAAACCTCTCTGTTCAATAATACAAGCTCATAGTAATAAAAAATTAAGATTTTGTTAAAATCAGTTAGTATAGTTTTTTTTAAATAGGAATGATTCCATTCTTAAAGTAAATGATGCAAGTGATAAAAGCAAATTTTTTAAATTAGGCAAAGTTCTAACCATTACAAGGGAAACTAAGTAAGAGATATCTTGTACATACAGTTGAAGAGAGATCACATTATATCAAAAAGTGTGTTCAAAGAAGTTCAGCCAGTTGAATCCCATGCAGGAATTTTGTATCACATGTCTAGTCTATGAACTGAGTTGTATGAGACTTGTTTCATATATTGGCACTTATAACCAACTGGGTTTTTGTTAGATTTCTTCAAGAACATTACTAGTACTGAATATATGGTTCAAGAGAGTTTTCTCATCAGTTCAAAACTTAGAATTTTATTATGATAGTTTTACAGCTAGTTTTGATGTTGACTCTTTTGCTATCTTTTGTCAGAAACTGTTGATTTATTTGCTGGTTTACTTTTTCTTCCTTGAAAGTAATTAATAGCTTTAAACATTGTTTTCTAAATTAATATATTTTTTTGTTAAAGAGCATCAGTTTATATTTAACAGAAGCATTTATGATAAACGGTGTCAGTAGATGTTCTAAATTTGTACCAGATATGGCTAATTCATTTTGAGTTATGAGAGATAGGGGCTAGCAGACTGTTCTGTGACTTTTAAACCATTTCATTATATAACTTAAATGGATGATACATTTGTTGTTTTTTCATCACAAAAATATTTAGATAAATTTTTCTATTTGAATAATAAGTATCCATAACTTCACCACTGAAAAAGACTATAACTCAACATTATCACTCTTAGACACTTTAATACATAACGAAAAAAGTGAATGTTTGTCATAAACCAACAGTTTTTGAATTACATACAAATTTTGATAGTTTTGAACCTATGACTTGTAATTTGGTTGAAGATCTACATAAGTTGGCCTCCAGAATTATGAATAGTTATGCTTTACTGCTTGAACAAATTGTAAAGATTTAGAAATATTTGAAATGTTTCATTTAAATTGTTGAAAACCTTGTTCATAAATATTTGAAAAAAGCTGTAATCTCTCTCAGATAGAATACTAATGTTCTTTCCTTACACAAGATAACTTTGTACGCATGTAAACAAAAAGTTAAGTATATTCACACATTCTAGCAAATTACATCCATAGGTTCAAACAGCATACGTCCACAGTTCAACTATATATCCAATAGTTCAAGCAGGATATATCCACGGGCTCAAATTGGATGTTTCATGAAACATTTTTTTAGCATAAAGGAATTACTTAAATCTAAAGATGTGATTCTAAAGAATTAACAATGTTTAGTGGTGCACAAGTTTGTGTCTATCCTGTGCCAAGGGTTATTTAGGATCTACCATGCGATGGCTGTCAAGAAGGCCACATACCAGTAAAACCAAGAAGCACTCGTAAATAATTCACCCTGTGCAGATATAACGTTGTGATTTTGATTGAAAAATTGGTTTCACATGCTTACTCAATCATTGCAACAAAGAGCCATGCTGTTCTGATATGTGGACAAACGAGTGTAGTGATTTATCAGTAGTTTATGAAAGACACAAGACTCAATGTGAAGATGAACAAAAACAATGAGAGAGGCTTCAAACAGTGACCAATGATCTAAGGTGTTAGGAGATTAGTGCTATTAATGTTAAACAGGTTAAATTTATTAGTACTGAAGAAAAAGATGGAAAACACAAAGCAACCATGTTTGAAAGAAAATACATTTTAAATTAAATCTCAGCTGAAAGTATTGTTGAAGTGGGAGATAGAAACAAAACCTGTCTAACAGTGTCAGAACTACTCTACAATCCACACACTTTCTGTAGCTAGCCAATTGTAAAATTGAATCACTAAAATCTCTATGAACCTCCGCTTTATGTGACAATCATAAAGCAACCTTGCACTTTAAATGTTGTTGAGTATGATACAACTATCCCATTGAAGAGCAGGTAGCATCCTTGACCAACTAATGCTATGTGTAGTAACACCTAGAACTGGAGTAGCACATGATGTTATCCATATTTAGCAAGCTCTAAACTAATTCTTTATTTAATAATATATATATATATATATATATATCACACTAATTAAAGCAAGTAAGTATGTGCCTGGCATTAAATCAGAAGCATTTTATATACTCTCTTCTCTTGGAACTGTGGGCTGTTTATTTTTATATAAAAGAGAATCTTTAAGCTAGGACAGAGTGTTCATCACTTGTAACATATATGACCCAAATATTGGCCATAAAATACAGAAAATAGGTGTTCAGCTAATGAGGTATATTTTCACACATTTTAGATGTGACATAGAAAAAGATCTCATATTATTTAGTTAGACAGTACACATGCTATGTTTCTATATATGTAGAAACACAGTACATTTATATTTTATTTCTGTATATGTAGGCAGGCAATACAGTTATACTTAGTAACTGTATATGTTAATACACTGGACACTTAACACGTATCTACTGTATATGTAAACAGGCAGTAAACTTATGCTTAGTATTTAGGTGTTCAGGAAGACAGTACACTTAGTTTCTGTATATTTCTCTCCTAAGCTGTTTGTATTAATGTTTGCGTGAATAACACGTAGTGTTGAGGGACCAAGAACAAGTTTTTAACGAATATTCCTCCTCGGATAATGTGAAACATTGAAAAGTGTTCAGTTATAAATAGTCGTGTATCTGTGAACATACATCATACATAGCGTGGATTACTTTTGGAAAGGCAATCGGAAATAATAAAAGAAACGGAGAATATTGGCGATTTGAGCGTATTTGCAATTGAAGAATATGAGACATTTACTGTGTACGTTTCACGTTACAACTTTCGTAACTAGTGATTAATACAATACAAATACAGCTTCTCAGGATCAAGCTAACGTAATACCAATGATAAGTTTCAGCATGATTGAAAAAATTAGTGTATCACAACTTACAGTCGTAATAAAGAATAACACTAGATGATTAAAGAAAAATTAAATCGTTTCCGTTGTAACACAATATATATATATTCTAACTATTAGGACTAAGTCTTTTAGACCGGTTACCCTATATCCCCAATCTGCCAGAAAACTGTAATCACAATGCTCTAAGTGGCAGGTTTCATAGAAAGGACCTATGATGTTTAACAGCCTATTTTATTTATATGAAAAAAGCTAACAAAGAGAGAGACGTCATTCCCAGTTTTAGTTTATATATTCAGTAGATAATTTACGTGTGTGAATATCTTTTTATTTCCGAAACGTGAATTTTAGTGAATCAAAGATAAGTAGAGGCCTAATTTTTCCTTTGATTCGATATTTCCGCTGGAGCAGACTAGTTTCTCCGAATTTACAACTCATCAGTGTTGTTTGGAAGAACGAAGTAAATGAATAATATGAGCCTTATATGGTGGTGGAATGTAAGCAGCTTATTTGGTTTTAGTGTATAGTCCTTTTCTTGTAATTAAAGTAAATACTGTTGTTAGTAGTGAGTAAATAGCTATACATCAAAACCAAAGTTACTGATTATCGACTGTAATAAGTTTTTCTCCTGTTAACTCATGACCTTTAGTTTGTTCTTCCCAATATTTATCATTTCTCTCGATTTTACCCACTTTAATTCCCCGGCAGTTAACCACACCAACAAAAATTTTAACATAATAAAATGTGGGTTATCTGCAGATATAGAGAATATAACTTTCACAGTAATTTCCCCAGTTGCTATATACTGAAACAGTATTACTGATGTTTCATACTCGTTAGGAGCGTCTAAAATTAGAATATTGTTACGACAGCGGAAGTCACGTGACGCTGGTAACACGTAATGAGT